CCCAGCCCCATCTTCACAATCATGGCTGTCAGAGCCCTCGTCACAGCCACTAGGGGCATCGTCAGCAGCAGCCCCAGAGGTTGAGGATCACGGGCAAGGCCTTCCACAGTTCAGATCATGTCAGCATCGTGCAGTCAGACAGGGAGTGAGGCATAGTCAGACGCGCCTGAATCTAGTGACGAAAACAGACCCACAAACACTACCGCTGCCCTCAGTGAGCCCGCCAGTTGGTCCTGACTCACAGTGCGACCCTAGAGGACAGGGGAGAGCTGACCCCGCGGGTTTCCAAGGCTGTGAATCTTTCCTTTGTTTGTCAGTTTGTTGTTGTTGTTGCGATAGCTTGCCCTCCTCCTCTCCTTCCCCCCAATCTCTTGGGGGTGATATCATCTTCCCTCGCACCTCCTGTCTACCCTCTGCCCCAGGAGCCCTGGTGGTGCTGTGGGGTAAGAGATGGGCTGCTAAGGCCAGCAGTTCAAACTTATCAGCCGCTCTGTAAGAGAAAGATGAAGCTTTCTACTCCCATGAAGAGTTACAGCCTGGAAACCCTACAGGGGCAGTGCTGCCCTGTCCGACGGGGTCACTATACATCGGTATCAACTGATGTCAGTGAGGCTCAGAGACTCTCCACCCTGTTCCTTCTTCTCCCTTTCCCTCCCACCTCCAGTAACCAAAAGATTCTGTTTCTTTGGGAGTGAAAGCCTGTCTTCTGTTTTCCTCCCAAATAGCACAAGGATCAGACCGTGTTTTTCTTTTGGTGACTGAGTAATGTCACTCTGCACCACGTCTTCCAAATCCACCCCACCCTGATGTGCTTCACAGTTTCGTCATCAGTCTGCAACAATACGCGGCGGCATTCCGTGGCGGGTATGTACCAGCAAGGTGACACAGGAGTTATGAGTCGGGCCGAGAAACCACCAGCCGTCCCTCGGGAGGAGGAGGAGCCTTTCTACTCCCATCACTATCCTTTGTCCTCAATATCCGCTGAAATGCAGTGCAGAGAATCACGTACACCGAGACCTCTGTGTTCAATTGCTCGTTGTGTGTCCACTGAAAACAGCTTCACTTTGTGCAGCTTCTACGCACCCATTCCTGTAAAATCCTTCTGAGACAGCACACTTTTCAGTTTTAGTTAGCTTCTCTTGTTTTGTTTTTTTTCAAAAGGGGGATTCTGCTTTCCCTGCTTGGGAAGGAACATCAGAGTTATCAGAGACTCTCACTTCCTAGCTATAAAGTGAACACGTGGCTGTAAGATGTCATATAGGAAACAAGTAGTGTATTTTATTTTATTATGTCATATGCCGATCTGCTTTATCATGGAAAGATTAAAGGCTTCAATCAGGACTTGTGAATACCTGTGGTGAGATACCTTCAGCTGTTAACGGTAAGATGTGGGCCAGGAGTTGCTCAGTGGATTGGTTGTGTGTTATGAACTCCTTAAGCCTGCATTTGTTCCCGTGGGAGAAAGACGGGCTTTGTACTCCAGGAGAAAGAGTTCTGCCCTGTCCTGTGGCGTCAGGATGGACTTGGTGGCAGTGAGTTTGGTTTGAGGTCTAATAGGGACCAAACTTTCTGTAGCCATGCTTTCACTGGTGGGCAGGTAGGTCGTTTCCAGTGCCCTGCTAGTGTGATCAGTGCTGTGATGAACATAGAACAGCTCCCAGACTCCCTGCCCACAAGTCGACACCGAACCCACAGGACAGGGTAGACCTGCCCCCTGGGAGTTTCCAAGACTGCAGCCCTCTGCCCGTGCTGTGTTTCTTGTTTCTGAAGGCTGTCCATCTTCACGGACGCAGACTCCCTGGTCTTTCTCCCGAGGAGCAGCTAGCTGGTGGGTTCCAACCACCGAGTTTGCCATGCGCAGCCCCACTGGTGGTTTTGAACCTCCGACCCCTTATGTTAGCAATCAAGCAAGGGTAACCACAGTGTGATCAGCACCCTGGTGAGAAAGACATGGGCCAGACCCAGAAGGGTCTGCCGGTGGCTGGCACCGTGAGCAAGGAACCAGCAACCATTTCCTGTCTTTTATATCTTCGCATGATTTGATTTTTCAACCTAAGGGATACATTGCTTTGTCTACTCCAGGAGCCTAACTTCTTTCAATGATAATAGCAAGGCAGTCCCAGGTCGAGGCAGGGGGAGCCAGGGGAGGAGCAGGAACATTCTCTGGAGGACCTGGCCTCCCTCTGCAGCCCCCCATGCTGCCCCTGCCCTTGGGCCCTGTCTCCCTCTCCCAGACCTCCTCCTCTCAGGACCAACAGTGACCAGCCTGGCCTGCTCCTGTCAGGAGTATCCCCTGTCCCAGGATGCAGGGCTGCCTGAGTCTCCCCTTCATCCTTTCTAAGCTCGGGCAGTGCCTAGGGTGGGGCCACGCTGCCCTCAACCAGCCTGAGTGGCCGGGTGAACGGGGCGAGCGTGAATGCCCTCGATGATTATAGGAGAGGAGAGGGTGGCCCAGAGGCAGAAGGCAGAGGTGCCCTAACGTCCACAGCCTCACTGAGAGCCATAGTACAGATACAGCCACCAAGGCTTCAGTAAACACGTGGCTGATGCTGCCACTTCATCCTTTAGAAGGGACCAGGGCCAAATGTCGACTCACCTCCCATGGTTGGACATGAGTCCAGGAGGGACCAGTCCCCAGAGAAGGAGCCCATGCTTGGTAAGGTGGAGGGTCAGTGGCCCTGCGCAGGACGGATCAGCTCCCGAGTAACAGTGCTTGTCCGGCCGGCCGGGACCCAGCAGTGTTTCACTCTGGGGTACACAGGGTCCCCGTGAGGCAGAACCGGGCCCGCAGCTCCAAACTGCAGCAGGGTTTCCCTTGCTGGTGACCCCCGTCCTGAGCATTCTGACTCCCCCGCCTCTGGCGGGGCCTAGAATCCATCTGTGTAACCGGTGTCTGGCCAGGGGTGGGAGTCAGGGAACAGCAACTATGATAGGGACCAGTCAGATGCCCATCCCCCCTCCTCCTCATGTTCAGTATTTCACCACATGGGGGGCTTGGCTGCTGCCCACTGCCGCCCCAAGCTGATCTGGCCTACCGAGTAGAAATGAGGCCAGGCCGTGTTTGTCCCCAGAGACCAGTGTCTCCCCAAGTGGGCGATACTGCCCTGTGTGCCCCCTGGGGGGAGCTGGAACCGTGGGGAGCAGGAGGGGCCTGCAGAAGCAGATCTCTACAGTTGATCCTGAGTTAGGAGCTGTAATATAAATGGTTTTGGTTGGCCGGGGGTGTGGAGTCATTTTTAAAATTCATTTTCTGGAAAGGGGAGTAGGGCAAACAAGTCTGGGAGCCAGGGTGTCCGTGAGGCCTTCCTGTGCTTTGGCATCCCCAGGAGGAGGAGTCCCACCACTGGTTCCCAGCAGACACAGCCTCCTCCCTCCTGGTGGCCACTGGCTGGCCCAGGATAGGGACCCAGCTTTCTCGGCATCCAGGAGCACTTCGGAAGGAAATGGGGGCCAGGCCCTTTCCGGACCAGAAACAGCCTTCCCTAGGCTCCTGGGCAGGCCGGCCAATTGAGGCTTCTTGAAAGGCCAGAAAGGAGACAGTAGGCAGCCAGTCCCTCTGTCCCTCCATCCAGTTGGACAGCAGAGGGCTGACCCACAGGGAGGAGGTGCCCATGGTGGTGGGGGTGTGGGGGGCATGTCCTACACCATCCCAGGGCACCCACACCTAGCCCCCCTGGAAAATGGAGCCTCTCCCCACCCCTCAGGACAAGGTACCCTCAGCTTCTCTTTCACCCAACAGTCAGGGCAGGGGGAGCTCCTCAGAGGCCAGTCTCCTGAGGGAGCAGTCAGGGTGGGGGAGTCAGGGGCTCCCAAAGAGCAGGGGCTCCCAAAGAGCACTGGAGGCTCCCTCCTTCCTGCAGAAGAAGAAAGTGACTGGGAAACACCAGTGCCCATTTTGAAAGCCCCACCCCCCACCCCGGGGCTCTTCCCTGGCTGCCCACCCTCTGACAGAGCAGCAGGGGGTCAGACCTGTGTCCGAGGAAGCCTGGCAGCTGTGTGCCCTGGGTCCCTTCAAAGCCCTCCCTCAGACTGCAAGTAGTGAGCTCTCTGTCCCGGGAGGTGAGCAAGCCAAGGCAATGCGACCCCCTCTCAGAGATACAGAGGGAACATTTGCTATGAGTGAGGGCTCTGGGGCTACACACAGCGGAGGAAACTGAGGCACGGGGCTCACATGTCCTGGAGTACTGGTGACGGCTGGCTTGATCATGAATGATGGCCCGGGCTTTCTCCCACAGTCGACCAGCCACAGGTCACTGTGGGCACAGAGGACACCCACCCACCCACCACCCACCCCGCCCATTCCCATAGGAGACCTGGAGGCTATCGTCCACTCCTCCAAACCCTCTCTGGTCAGGAGGCAGCAGATAACTCTAGCCTGCCCCAGGTCAAGACTCAAAGGTCCAGGACATCTATCCAAAGCCCTGTGACCACAGACGTTGATCTAGAACCGGCTGGGACCAGGCCTAGGGCCCAGAGGGTCCCCATCTCAGTCATGGGAAGTGTACCTTTTTTTATTTCCTTTTTTTGACTTGAGTTGTTTCCCATGAGCAAGGTGAAGTTCGCAGAGCCAGTCGGATCTCCGCGGAACAATCCATGCCCGTGCTCTTCCATCACGTGGGTTGCCATCTCACTTCCTCCCTCGATTGCCTGTTTCCATCCCTCCTTCCTCCCCACCCTCTGAACCCGTCCCCAGCAAACGCAGCCCTTCCCATCTCACATGATTCCAAGGCGGCCGAGCTTCGCCGGGGTTGCGGCTCTCCCCCTTTTTGATGTGGTTGTATCTGCTGGAGTCCGAGTAGCACAGTCGGTTATGAGTTGGGCTGCTCACTGTGAGGTCAGCGGTTTGGAACCACCAGCCACTCAACAGAAGAAAGATGAGGCTTTCTGCTTCTGGAAAGATCCACAGCCTCAGAAAGCCACCTGGGGAAGTTCTACTCCGTCCAGTAGGGTCACTGTGAGTCAAGACCGACTCCGTGGCTGTCAGTTTGAGTAATTTTGTTGTTTGGCTACTAAGTGTGCCTTGGGATGAGTTCAGTTCAGATCTGAAGGGTGACAAAGGGCCAGAGTCTCGGGGGTCCCACCTGTCTCTCTCCAACCAGTAAGCCTGGTCTTTTTAATAACTTTGAGTCTTTGCTCCACATTTCTCCCCACTCTATCTAGGATCGTCCAATGTGACCCCTTCCAGAGTGGTTGGTTGCGGTGGCCGGACACCGGCTGGTTCTTAGGGTCTCACGTTGTGGAGGCTGAGGTGCGCAGGATCCAGTCATCCATTGGACTAGTGGTTTCCATGCACCTTTACAGGGTTCGCCTCCAAGTTGGGCTGCTAACCACAAGGGCAGAGGTTTGAAACCACCAGCTGCTCCGTGGCAGAAAGACGTGATGGTTCAGAAACGCAAAGGGGGACGGTTCTGCTCTGCCCCGAGGGCTGCTGTGAATTGGAATCCGTCTGTCGGCAGTGAGTTTCGGTTGTGGGGTTGAGGTCTACGGGCATACTGGCTAGGTCTCATCTCGTCTCAGAAGTTAAGCTCCCCAAGCACACAGGTCCGTCTCAGTCTCACCTCGGGGCCTCCACCCTGTGTCCCTGGTCTTGGAAACCAGTCCCCAATCCTCGCCTGTGTGACTCCACGCAAGACCAGGTTCATGAAGCCTCCCCATGCCGCTCAGGTTTCTCCAGGCATGGCCAAGTGCCAGATCCCCTTTGTGCCTCAGTTTCCCTGTTTGCCAAGTGGGGGGCAGTGGCCATGTGGACAGGTTTGGGTGAGGACCACAGGCCGAGGTACTAAGTGCTGGTGGGGGCTCCAGGTGGAGTGAGTATGTAGTGGCACTGTCCTCAAGGAGGGCACAGTAGGGTGGGCTGGGCAAAGTGCTGTCAATGAGACCAGGGTGCTTCCGAACCTCTGGGCAGGTGGTGGGGAGGTGGGGGTGGTGGGAGCGCTCTTCACTGCAGTGTGACACACACACCCCCAGCTGTTCTTGGGGAGAAACCTGGATCTGTCTGCTTCCACAAAGATTGACAGGCAGGGGAGCCCCCCACAGCAGCCCCCCGGGCAGTTCTCTGTCCCCCAAGTCGGATTAACCCTGCAGCAACGGCTTCTGGTTTCTGTAGAGTGAGTCTCAGTCAGCGGAGTTAAGAGCTCAGCAGCTGACCGAAAGGTCAGGGGCTCAAACCCACTTGCTGTCTTTCCAGAGGAAGATGAGGCCGTGGCTGCTGCAAAGATATATAGCCCTGGGAACCCTACATGTTTACATTCCCCCAGAGGCCTTGTCTCTGGGCCGAGGCCAGGAGGCAGGGCAGCTCGCTGAGTTGGAATCTGCTCCACGGTAGTGGGTTTTAACAGGAA